CTGGAATTTCCTCCTGTGCCTCTATTCACTCCCTTTTAGGAGTCAACGGATCTCTCAGACCCAAGAGACTCAAGGTTGAACCTGGGGTATCCCCAGGGTACCCCCTTGACGTCCCCATTCTATACGTTCTTTCCCTTGCTAAGCAGGGGTGGTGGTTAGCCCCACTGTGGCCCGCAGTGAACCTGAGCCCCTGGAGATCACGTGCTTGCACAACCCCCCCGTAATACGTTAATCAATAGAGTAGAACTGACATGGTGTCAGTTTGGGGCCTAAGGTTTATCAGTGTCCACTTTTGCCCTCCTGGGAGTTTTGAGCTGGCTACCCCACTGGACAGACCACGAGGGAAGGATTCATGGAGAGAGAAGGTCCTAGAACTTCATGGTGAGAGAAAGGCCCAGCTGTTCCAACCAAGTCCAGCCCACAGTCAGCCCAACAGCTGAAGACAGGCACACAGGCAGTGACCACAGGCAAGGCCAGCAGGAGAACTGCTCAGCTGAGCCCAGCCTAGACGGCATAACCGTGAACAAGTGAAATGGTCATTTTAGGTCATTTGGTTTAGGATGGTCAATTCCTCCAGTAAGAGATCTTTGAAACAAACAGTTCTAATTTTTATTATCCCAGTGGCTTGGGTCAGAGCCATTCTTTATTCCTCTTTAGCTCATATCCTACATCTGATCTACATGCAAACAGGACAGTCACAGCCCACTGGCACACCTTCTAGGCACACCTAGGATCTGCCACCACCCTTCCCACTGACTGGCACCGCCGCCATTTCCACCACAGACCTTGCTGCCTGCACCCCACTCGCCTCGTCTCAGTCCACTTTCCACACAAGAGTCAAAATAAACCTTTAAAAATATAGGGAAGGGAATTTCCCTGGTGGTCCAGGGCTTAAGAATCCACCTTGCAATGCAAGGGATGTGGGTTGATCCCTGGTTGGGAAACTAAGATCCCACATGTCACAGAGCAAGCTAAGCTGTGTATTGAAGCTACTGAAGCCTGTGCACTCTGGAGCCCGCGTGCCTCAACCAGAGTCCATGCATTGTGACCAGAGGTCCCACAAGGCGCAACGAAGACCCTGTGTGCTGCCACTAAGACCCCAGACAGCCAGACACAAAAATAAATGTTAAAGGCATACAATGAAGGCCCTGCATCCCTCCGCTCGACACTCCCCAGCAGCACCCACACCACCCAGAATGATACCCAAGGGCTGAATGTCTGACTAGGTTCTCTGATCCAGCCCCTGCCAACCCACACAAGTCACTCTCATCCTGGCCAAGCAAGATCCACCCTGGGCCTTGCCCACTCACTGTCCCCTCTGGCCTGAATGCCCTTCCACTACGAGGTCACCTGCCTGACTTCTGCCAGACTTCATCTGGGGTCTGCACTTCAGTGACACCTGGGGAATCCTGCTCTGAGCAGTTGATCTAGGAGGCCCGCCCTGCCCCTGTCACCTTTAACCCTGGCCCGCCATGCTCTCCGTCTACATTGTGTTTCTACCCCTACATCCTTTTTGCCCTCTTGTTTCCTGTCTGTCTCCTTCCACTATCACACAGGCTCCACAAGGGTGTGGATTCTGAATGTTGGGTTCACTGCTGGGAGACTCCCAGCGTGTAGAACAGCACATGGCAGTGTGGAGCCCAATATACACATACTCGATGAGAGAGCACACGCGTTAGTAAAAGCTGCCTTTCATAGCCCTGGAAACAAGGGGAAAATCATCATAAACCTCCAAGCTCAACCTTGCACTCTGGGGCCCGCCTCCCTGGAGCCCATGATTTGGCAGGGCAGTGGCTCTGAACACATTTTCCAGCTGCTCCAAGCCCTCCAGAGGTTCCCCATCACCCCCAGGATCAAGTCCACCCTCCTTCAACAGCCCACAAGCCTCTGCAGATGTGACCCCTCCGGACTTGAGGCTCCTCCGGGCCCCCGCACACCCCACCACTGTACACTCTCTGGCTTTGCCCATGCTGTTCCCTCCACCGGGAACACCCTTCCTCTCGTTCCTCCCACTCCTGTCCACTTGTTCTTCAGGCTCCATCAACATGACCCTTTGTCAAAGTGCCCTTCTGTGACCTCCACCTTCTCTGGCTCCTCCTTTTCCTGTATTTTCCTTTCGGGCTACCCACAGTTTGTGGAACGGCAGCAGATTACCCAGTGGAGCAATTTACCAGCAACTTAGGCTTCTGCAATCACAATCGAGGAAGGGGGGCAGACAAGGGTGCTTTTCGAAGCAGGACCAGAGACCTGTGCTGAGGGGCCTGGTGAAAAATGAAAATGCAAGTCCTCCTGTTCAAAATGAATTTCAAGTCAGCAACAGCAGAGCGGTAACCCAGCCTGGGATGCTTCTGAGCATGGGGTGCGGTACGACCCCACCAGTCACATGTCCAGGAAGCCGCAAAATGCAGCCCTAAAGGCCTGGTGAGGCCGCTGACCTGAGTGTGGCAGAGCTGGCCATCTCCGCAAAGACAGAGCCATGCACTTATTTCATGGAGAGACCAGAGCTTCATTCTTGAGTGGAGGCATCTTCCCTCTCCAGGGTGCCTGCTCCCTGGACCAAGCACCATTCCAGCCAAGTTCATCCACTGACAGTTTAGCACAAGCTTCGCTGAATGACAGTCAAGAGCCGAGAAGAGGAGAGGAGACAATAGGAAAGAGATGACCTACAAACAGGAAATGCTGGAGAGGGTGTGGAGAAAAGGGAACACTCATACGCTGCTGGTGGGAATGCAATTTGATGTAGCCACTGTGAAAGACAAACTGGAGATTCCTCAAAAAAAAAAAAAAAAACTAAAAATAGAACTACCACATGATCCAGGAACCCCAGTACTGTGCATATACCCAGACGAAACTACAATGTGAAAAGATACACGCATCCCAGTGTTCACAGCAGCACTACTGACAATAGCCAAGACATGCAAACAACCTAAACGTCCATCAGCAGATGAATGGATAAAGAAAATGAGGGGCATATGTAAAACGGAATATCACGCAGCCATTAACAAAGGAAGAACTAATGCCATTTGCAGGAACATGGATGGACACAGAGATGGTCACACTTAGTGAAGCAGCTCAGACAGAGACGGACAAACACCACGTGACATCACATACAGGCGGAATCTTCATTACGACACAAATGAGCACATCTACAAAACCAGAACAGAATCCGAGACACGGAGAACAGAAGTGTGGTTGCCAAGGAAGAGGGAGACTGGGGAAGGGATAGAGGGTGAGTTCTGAAACAAAAGGGAAGCGGGGAGGGCACAACCTTTACAAGAATGAGACAGCCACAGGACGTGACGACAACCGGTTAGAACAAGTTAGTTCAAGGTGGTGGGTGAGTCGACTTCCGCCAGACCTCGAGCCTCAGGATATGCTCGGTGTAACACAGCCACCGAAACGGCACACCCACCAGTGCCAGGAGAGTCCTGAGGCTGCCCGTCAAACATCAAGAAGCAGGTAGTGGCCCGAGCCCTGGGAATTCCCGCCCCTCCCTCAACATAGTGGTAGCAATTCTCCTGCTCATTAGCCTATAAAATTACCTAGCCTATAAAAACTAAAGATGCATATCTGGGGGCCTCTCTCACCTTCTGAGAGGGCCCACACTCGGTCAGTAGACTGTACTTCTCTCTAAACTAATCCACTTCTTACCTATCACTTTGTCTCTCACTGAATTCTTTCTGTAATAAGACATCAAGAACCTGAGTTTCATTAAATCCTGAGACCAGGTGTGCGATCTCAATGAAAAGACCTTGGGTTCAAGTCCTAAACTGGGTTGCCATTTCAGTTTGGGATTAGCAGATGCAAATTATTACACAGAAGATGGATAAACAACATTATATACAAGATGGATAAACAAATATAAGATGGATCCACCCCCGTTCTAGGGAAGATCGCCTGGGCCAGACTAAAGGAGTGCAGGCCCTGCACACGCCCCGCGCCTCAGCAGCAGCTCCGCGCTTGGACCACTGTTCTACAACTCCTCACCAGACCCTCCTGGGTCGGGACGCACGCACTTGAGGACATTAGGCCTCTGGGTCCCCCTTTGCCTGACAAAGCAATAAAGCTATTCTTCTCTGCATCACCCAAAACTCTGAGATTCCTTTTGGCACTGGTGCACAGAGGCTGAATTTCCAGCATCAGAATCTGGCCAAGGCAAGGGAACCCAAGGTAGGTTAGACCGTCAAGTCCAAGCACCTCCCCCAACCCACACGGCCACTGATGCCCACCCTCACCTCTCAGCTGCAGGTACAGTGGCCTTTTCTCTCTCCTCCAGGACAAAGACACTGCCCAGAGTGGGGCGAGGCGCCACGAGGGCCATGTCCTGGACATCACCATGAGGGTGCTGAGTCCTCTCACACAGTTTCCCAGGATGAGCGCATAGCAGCAGGAGTTACTGCATGTCCACCAACCAGCAGGCACACAGCTCCCCACGTGGGCACTGAGGCCTGGTCACCAGCAGGGTGAAGGCCAGCGACAGGCGGCAGCAGCAGGTGGCCAGGTGCCTGGGAGGATATGCCAGGAGGCAGGCTCACTCCCACCCCCACCGTCTCCTTCCTCCTGTTTTCTGTGGCTAATGTGCCACATGCATCTCTCTAGGTCACCTTTCATCCTCTCGAGGACACAGTGGGAGACAAATCCCATCTGGAATTGTCCTTATCATCTCGTGTGTTCTCCCCACCCTTGGAGCATCTCAAGTCCTCCAGAGACGCAAATGCCAGGCTCTCACTCTTGGGATGGGTGTCCACATGAAATATGCTTTCCAGGGACTTTCCGGGTGGATCTAGGGGTTAAGCTCCATGCTTCCACTGAGGGGCTCAACTTCAATCCCTCCCTGGTCAGGGAACTAAGATCCCACAAGTTGTGTGACACAGTTGGCGGGGGGTGGGGGGGGGGCCTTTCCAATCACCCCTGGGGCATCCATGCTTGACAGGGAAGCCTGGGAGGGAATACAGCACGCAGACGACCGGCCACAAGGCCCCGGGGACACGCACTCCTACCTTGGTCAGATCCATCCCAAGTTTGAGCTGAGAAATGAGGTGAAGGATCACACTGCGCTGGTCCTCCATGACGCCCAGTTCTGTCTCTTCCTGATCTTCAGTGTCGCTTTTCTCATCTTCGGACAAAACCAATTCAGGGCCTGAATTGGGCTAAAACAAGATCATCAATAAAAATCACCAGTTGGTCCTGAGAGGCTCAGCACCGCACCCATGTTCTTTGGCAAAAGGGCAGAGAGCCCAGGCTCGCTCAGAAAGAACTTCTCCACCAGCTGGTGCTCCCGGCCGTGGGGCGAAGATGAGCTTTGGGGTGCAGGTCCCGCCTGCAAGCACTGCAGGAGCTCACTCATCTTTCCCCCCCCATCAGTGAGTGAACATTCTGACCTAAGCACCTCCCCTGACAAAGAGCTTCCTGCCCTCCAAGAAACTATGAATAACAGTAATATACAGGCACCAATCCCTTCATCTCCACTATTCCCAAATGATGTTCTCCTGTTGTACAACCCACTACAGCTAATGTAAATTTACACTATAAGTAATGCAAATTTCTGTTTATAAGCAAAGATCAGACACCTCTGAAACTGACATTACCTTATTTATGTGAAAATTGACTCTGAAATTATTTCTACTCCCATTAGTTAACATCAAGATGGCAAATGTGACCCAAAAAGGCTCAGTGCTGGCATTCATTTAGGCAGGGAAACAAAAATGAAAACGGAAAGAAAAGGTCTGAAATGGTACAACAATGCTAAACTTCAATCCACCACAGACCCTGTGCTTTCCCTGATGCAAGTTTTATTCATTCAGTTGCTTGATTCCCATTTTCCAAATTACACAGAAAGCAGGAAAGTTAATAAAATGTGCCAGGGGAGTTGCCGAGAGCAAAATTTTCTGATACCTAAGCACCAAAGAACTCTTCTCTTGACAGAAATCACCATTTTATTCACCATTTCTCATTTATGTTCTCATAGCACGTGTTTCTCTGTCAGCAAAAGCATTCCACACAAAACATGCCATAATTGTTCCTAACTACTGTTGACAGGTCAGACACAGTGAACTTAAAATACAGAAGCACAGGAGCTTGAACATTTCCATGTAAAAGGATACAGACTTGTCCAAATATCCACACAGAAACCAATGACTTTCAACCTCAGGAGACAGAACCATCACATCTATTTCCGGTACACAAAAGTCACTTAGCTATCACGCTGTTGATAATCGTCCGGCTTCACACACACATGCTGGCCGTCCCCCCCCCCCACCCCCAACACTCCAGAGGAAATAGGGATCTTTCCCACCGGGGTAGAAGTTTTAAAAATTTCAATTGAGGGACTTCCCTGATGGTCCAGTGGTTATGAACCCACAACACAAGAGTTATGGGTTCGATCCCTGGTGGGGGAACTAAGATCCCACATGTTGTGCAGCAGCTAAGCCCATGGGCCACCACTGCTGAAGCCCGGGCCACGAGTGGAGAGGGCGTGTGCCGCAAAGATCTCGATGCTGCTGCCAAATACACACGTGAATATGCCATTGAAAAGTGACTGTAAGACTTCAACTGAAATAGACGTTTTCCTTAGACACATTTCTCAAATTACTCCCAAGTCCATGGGGCTGTCCTCCAGCCAAGAGTCGAGCTTCCATCGTCTGCCTGGTTCCCCAGACTCAGGCCACGTGTCTTACGTGACAGCACTGGAAAGGTGCTTTGCCGGATATACTGAAATAACTGAGGGCCTCTGTCCCCGCATCGTGATCCAGAGGACAGACCTGAGGGACGTCTGGGGCCATGCTGGGAAATCCGGGACAGGGGGACAGGAGCCCAGACTTTTCTGTCAGTGCCCGGAGGCCCTGTCTCTCCTCCAGCTTCAGCGCCCGTGGCAATCAAAGCTGCTGCAGTTATGAGCCCGACGGGCTGAGGCAGGGCCACCCTCCCACACACCTGTCCTCCTGACTCTCCTCGCTCCTCTCCTCTGCATTTTAGGGGAATTTTAAAGGGTGGCTGCCTCCGTGCTCTGTGAGTTTGCATCTCCAGTCAGGTGCCACTGAAGCCAGAAAGCTCAGACACCCGCCCTTCAATGCGAAGGTGAAACGTGTTAGTCTCTCAGTTCTGTCTGACTCGTTGCGACCCCACAGGCTGTATAGCCTGCCAGCCTCCTCTGTCCACAGGATTCTCTAGGCAAGAATACTGGAGTGGGTAGCCATCCCCTCCTCCACGGGGATCTTCCCGGCCCAGGGACTGAATCCGCATGTCCTGCGTTGCAGGCAGATTCTCTACCACTGAGCCACCAGCAAAGCCATGCCTAGGTGATGCAGCTGCTTCCACCTCTGCAGCTATCTGACAGGCAGGAAGTACCAGCAGACTCGCCTCCACCTGGGGCGACGGGGCAGGAGAAGGCAACACCTGGGCATCTTGTGTCAGGAGGTGAAAGCACAATCGGAAGCAATCATGGGCCTTCCCTGGTGGTCCAGTGGCTATTTTCTGCAATCCCCATGCAGGGGCCCAGGTCTGGTCCCTGGTCAAGGAACCAGACCCACACCCTGCAGCTGAGAGCCCACACACCCCAAGTCAAGACCTCACACAACTAAGACCCAGCACGACCAAATACATTTAAATAACATTTTAAAGAAGAAAGCAAATCAGGTTACCAGCCTGCGCTGGAGGAGGCAGGCATGGCTTTCAAGGTCCCTGCACATCTCAACAAGAAAGGGAGCACCATGGGAAAAGACCCTGAAGAAGAACAGATACCTGTAAGTGTACAACCGCATCACTCCTGGACTCTAGAAAGGAACACAACATTGCTCATCAACTGTTCTCCAAAACAGAAATTCAGAAAGAAAGGGAGCTCCATTTGGAGTGCAATTGTTCCTGCCTGAAATGAGTTGCTCTCACAAAGTACTGAGTGTGAGGTAAACAAATCAATAGCTCAAGTCAGCTTCGCGAAGTGAAGAAGGCTTCTTTTTCCCGAAACTGTGATTTTTCCATCTGCCTGTAGGCCAGTGAGTGGGGAACTCTCCACCCCTCCCATCCACAGTCACTCTCAGGGAGATGCTTACAGACCATCCAGACCACACGTCTCCTGCTGTCTGCCTTCCTTGAAAACTAAACTCAGCCGGTCCCTGATTTCCAGGAGCCAAGAAGCCTTCTGCGAGATCCTGCCACAGCAAACAAACATTACCATGCACACAAGCCTCTCCAGCTCGTCCCACTCCAATCAGCGTCACATTTCCCGTGTCTCATGATACCACCAGGCGCACTGGCTCCAGCAAAGAGAAAGCAGGCCGGCGCACAGGCCCCAGAAGCTGACTCACTCCAGGGTGACTGGCGGCCAGGACTCCGGGGGCCCTGAAGTCCCGTCAAGGGAAGAAAGGCCACGGGGAGTCTGATACACATCCCCTTACTGGCGCAGATCCTTAGCAAACTGTGCCCTGAGCTTAAACAAGGGTCCAGTAATATTCCTGTCTCTCCCAGCTTCTGAGAACCTGCGAAAACTCTCCTACCAAACCTCGAATAAATAATCGTGTTTTTTTTTTTTAAGCTGGTTTCATTCATCACTTTGTCAGTGAATATATTAGAGAACCACCCCTCCTCCAATTCCATCCAAACTGGAACTCAATTCATATGCAGGTGAGCCCACTTTTTTGTGTGGGTCTAAAAATGGGGAGGTGTGGGATTCCCTGGTGGTCCAGTGGATAAGAATCTGCCTGCCAATACAGGGGACATGGGTTCAATCCCTGGTCCAGGAAGATCCCACATGCATCAAGTCAGTTAAACCCATGTGCCACAACTACTGAAGTCTGCATGCTTGGAGCCTGCGTCCACCACAAAGGAAGCCACAGCAATGAGAGGCCTATGCACCGCACAGGTTTGCTGCAACTAGAGAAAGCCCACTCACAGCCACAGAGATCCAGAACAGCCAAAAATAAATAAAAGTGAATAAAAAAGTAGTAATTATTAAAAAAAAAAAAACAATACAGGCATGCATGGATGGAGGGTAGACGTCTCCAACAGGGCACATCAGGCTGAAGGTCAACTGGCCGTGTGAACACCAATTTGTGGGCATCTGCAAAGCACCCACAGTTAGCAGGGTCTCTGAAAAACGGAGAATTCAAAGAACCAGCTTTGATGGAGTTTTAAAGGCAGAAAACCTCCCCTTTCAAGGTCAAGGGCTTGCATATTCTGCTGCTCTGACATGAACTCCACAATAGCGGTAACGGTCAGTGGATCCAATCTCCTTTCCACCATCAGGCCCACGTGCTGGTCGCATCCTCCCCCTCCTGCTCATGGAGGTCTGCTCCTCTCCCCAGGGGACCAGAGGTGGCTGAACAGTGTTTCTCTGCCTCAGAAGAAAACTGAAAGGAAAAAACAGCTTTATAACACTGAGAAAATTCCTAAGACTTGATCAAGAAGCATCTTCAGATCCCCCTCCCCCATCCCCTGGAGAGCTCTGCAAATGAGCCAGCTGGGCAGTAAAAAGGTCTGCAAACTTGAAGATATAATGGAATTAGGATATGTTGTAAAGAAAAGCAGACTTTGGAAAAATGAAGCTTTTAGTAAAAACAAAAATTATGACTCAGGATTTCTACCACATGAGCACCGCAGAGTGTGTGGTGCTACAACAAGCCAGTGACTCCTGCGTTGCTGGCAAGACGGAGGGCAGAAAAGCAAGCGCAGGGCCAGGAAAAGGCCGACAGGCAGCTGGCGCCCCCTGGTGGCCCAGCAGTGACCCGGCCCCCAGGGCAAGGGTTCCTAACCTGGGTCCCAGGGACACTCAGTGAGATATCTACTGCTAGGGGACTTTCCTGGCCGTCCAGTGGTTTAGACTCCCCCTTCCAATGCAGGGGCCGAGGGTTTGATCCCTGGTTGGGGAGCTAAGACCTTGCAGCCAAAAACAAAACAAAACAAAACATAAAACAGAAGCAGCATCGTAACAAATTCAATAAAGACTTTAAAAATGGTCCACATACAAAACAAAACAACAAAATCTTCAAAAAAAAAAGTGGTATCTGTCACCCTTGACATTTCATACCCAAATTGGGGAGGGAGGGCGTTTTATAGAGTGGGTCCTGCCTAGACGGACCTCAGGCCTCTCAAGGTCTGAAGGGTCATGGAAGAGAGCTGGGCTCACAGGCTGGGAAGTGGCTGAACCAGAGGAGGT